GCTTCTAGGTTGGAGGCCATGGCTAGTGGGTTGGAGGCCATCGCTTCCAGGTTGGAGGCCATGGCTAGTGGGTTGGAGGCCATCGCTTCTAGGTTGGAGGCCATGGCTAGTGGGTTGGAGGCAATCGCTTCTAGGTTGGAGGCCATGGCTAGTGGGTTGGAGGCCATTGCTTCTAGGTTGGAGGCCATGGCTAGTGGGTTGAAGGCCATTGCTTCTCTAGGTTGGAGGCCATCGCTTCTAGGTTGGAGGCCATCGCTTCTAGGTTGGAGGCCATCGCTAGTAGGTTGGAGGCCATCGCTTCTAGGTTGGAGGCCATCGCCAGTAGGTTGGAGGCCATCGCTTCTAGGTTGGAGGCCATCGCTTCTAGGTTGGAGGCCATCGCTTCTAGGTTGGAGGCCATCGCTTCTAGGTTGGAGGCCATCGCTTCTAGGTTGGAGGCCGCTTCTAGGTTGGAGGCCACCGCTTCTAGGTTGGAGGCCATCGCTTCTAGGTTGGAGGCCATCGCTTCTAGCTTGGAGGCCATGGCTTCTAGGTTGGAGGCCATCGCTTCTAGGTTGGAGGCCATCGTTGGTATCCTAGACCACCCCCATCCAGACCTCCCACCTCGGCCACGGTGGCGACGGGGCGACATTGTGCGTGTCACCTGGAAGTGGTGGGTTGTATTGGAAGCGTTTTTGGCAGTGCCCAGGGCCCATAGTAGATCATAATAGTAATGCCCTCGTTACTAGTAGCGATGCCCTTTGCTACCAGTAGCTTCTTGCTACTGCCCATACTTTGACGTCGCAAGCAAGGCTAAGAACTGACCCAGCAGGCTACTACAGCATCGTTCCATGCTTTCCTTTGCACCCCAGACTGAGAGTGGTTTCCAAAAATCATTCTGAGGCCTAAACATTTGAGAAGACCAGCACTGCAGACGGAGTGCAGCAGCAACATACAAGCTGTTGCGAGTCATTCACTGCAACACGCAGCAGGGTTGTACAGGCCAATAATTCGATTTGGAAATGCAGACAAGTGCGAAATTGTCCGAGCGGCTCATTCAATGCAGTCGAAATACACATGGGGCGTCTCTCAAAGGACAAAGAGTGGAAGAGGGTCAAGTTTCGCTAAAGATCTAGGAACCAAATCATTAGTGCGAGCGCTTCTTCAAGGAAGCTCAGGCGGGGGGAGTTTCCTTGAAGAAGCGGCAGCTATCCTGCGTCCTAGCTACGAGCGCCCTATTGCTAGTAGCGAACTACTCCCTTAAGCAGGTGCCTAATTAATAAGTAAGGAGGCAGGGCCACAGGCTCAAAAAGAAAAATATGTCCTACGCCATTTATGGAAGAGAGTCAAAGAATGGATTCGAGAGGCGGCATGTTGGAAGTGGTGCCTCAAAAATACTCAAAACACTGAAGCATTAGCATTCCAGGATTCCTGGATAGTCTAATCTCACTTTCAAAAAGTTCTCGATGGTCGACTCCCGACACGGGTGGAACGGTCATTCCTTCCTCCAAGAGATCACTGCCCTTCGTAGGCCGGAGCCAGAGTCCTGGCCCCAGCGAGTTCGGAGAGCAATGAGACTATATTGGCGTTACTAGTGGCTTCTTGTTACTAGTAGTAAGGTGCCTTGTTACTAGTAGCTTCTAGCTACTAGTAGGGATGCCCTGCGATGCCCTTGTTACTAGCAGCTTCTAGATTCTGCTTCCCTGCCTGCAAACCTCACCAAATATCATTCTCGGAGCAAAACCCCTGGAGATTGATCACTTGTATATTGCTCCTGGGGCAAAGCAAGGTCGTTATTGCCTGTGCTGCGGCTCTGTTGAATTCAATGACTGTTGTGGCTCTCAATGGGTGATCCAACTTGTCAACAGTAATGAGGGAGTACCCCAGACAAGAACTGTGACCAAGTGCGCCTTTGCCTCAAAGCCCTGGAAAGGAGGGTGTTGGTCCCGATGCTCCACAGATGCTCAAGAGATCACATGTTGTTCTTAGAAAGAGAACAAATACAACTATTGTTTCTACTAGCTTCTTGTTACTACTAGTAAGGCACTTGTTACTAGTAGCGATGCACTTGTTCCTAGTAGCGAACATTGTTACAAGAAAACACATCGCCTTGAAACGTCACAAGTCAGATTGGATGTAGACCGCTGGGGGTGGCCAGGGGGCCATCCTCCAATCTGTCAGCCCACAGCCACGGTCAATGGCATGGAGGCAGCTTTGGGAGATTTGTCTGTTTTAGTGAGAGTCTTGGCCGCAAAGTATTCCAGAGTTTGCCAAAGTATCGAAGCACCATATCTGCAGCAAAGCAGTGACAGTTGCAAAAGTGAGGGCACAACACCACTGGTGTTTACCATTCGATCCTTGTCTTCTTGCGAATTTGATGAGTGGCCACGCCAAGGGGTGACTAAGTCCACAAAATTGCACGATGTTTGATGCTGTTGGCACATTTGTTTGGTCGCCCATTGCTTGTTTGCTTGCGTAGTAGTAAAGTGATAGCTTAGCGACGTGAGGCCTGACCTCAATACGCGCTGTGAAGGGGAAAAAAGTAGTAGTAGAGTGATAGCGGATGCTTCTGTGAGTGGCGGTTGGACAGTGATGATCATGCCTCTAAAAGCGCTTGTAGACTGTTTCAAGCTACTGTTGAAGCTGAACATTGATGAAGAGATTATTCATAGTGTCAGCAATGTGTGGATGAGATACTTCTGGCCTATGCATTAGCTATATATTTCAAGTCATACCAAGTGATGAAATCTGCAAGATTGTGGAACACCCTCCAGAAAGCCAGTGGATGCTCCACAGTGGATAGGATAGACACTCTAGCTCACACTTGTGCCAAATGCTGGCGCAACGCTAGCTTGTGCCTCAAGTCTAGAGTGTGTCAACTGGCTTTGCACCATTGGTGCTTTCCAACGCACAAAGACAGGCCGTTGGGCCTCGAGGCTGTAAGGGGAACCCGGGGAACTTCGCAAAGCAGCGACATCCGAGGCATGCTGGCTTGCTTGCCGCTTGAGGACACTGGACGCCTGTGATTGTCCTACAATTTCCAGCTATCCTTGTAAGCAAAGATGCAGTCCATAGCCGACAAACTTTGATGGAAGATGCCTTTTGCATTCTGTGTGTATATATATATATTACATATACAATATGATGAATTCTTGGCATGACAGCTAGATCATCCTTGTTTGATCTGCCACAACAGGAGATGCCCTTGGAAAATCTGCATTCTTGACTTGTGGATCTATATGATTGGCATCATCTTCAGAATGATTTCTATATGTGGAATGCATTCTTGGCTATTCTTGGTAAGTGTCCTTAATAAGTCTTCATGCTTGGACCCTCCCATCCCGTGAGTCTGCAGGAGAGCTTGCAGATTGCCGCACCTTTGGGACGTCTTTGGCACTTCGCTGCCCTTCAACCTGGGGCTTTGGTGGGGCTGCTGCGCCTCCGAGGTGAGCGGTTAGAAGTTGGAAACCATGGCGTGCTGTTCCTGTCGCAAATGCTTCACAGCCTTGATAAAAAAGATTTAATCAAAAGTTAAAGTATGTTGAAGTGGAGTATATACTTTCCTCAAGGCCTAGTGACGGCCTAGTGATGCACTGAAATGTTCGGTAGATCAGTTCAAGTGTCATCATATTGACGCCAATGTTTGCTGATGCTGAGACAGACATAACGAGCATCCACAAAGTTTCCACAAGGGCTTCTTCCAAAGCACGGCGGGAGTCTAGGGGGAACCTACGAGGACCCCATTTGGGCGGCACCTTGTTTAGAAGAAGAAGAAGAAGAAGAAGAAGAAGAATTCCTTTTTGACCGAGGTTTCTATGAGGTCGCACCCATGGGGCTGACGAAGTTGCTGGGCCGCGGATGCCTAAGACAGGTGGAGATGGTGGAGATCGAGGAGCCCTGACGCTTGGTGGAAGTAGCGATGCCCTTTGCTTCTAGTAGCGTCCTTGCTCCTAGTAGTAAGGCCAGGAGCCCCTAGTGGCGTCCTTGCTCCTAGTAGCGATGCCCTTTGCTCCTAAGGTCGCCAATCCTAGATGAGTTTGAAAGAGGTCTCCTGGGTTCGATGATGTCCAATCTTCAGTGGCGGTTCAGATGAGCCTTTGAGTACTGTAGGTGGAGATGGGCTTGCCTCAATGGTCTCATGAAAATGTGTCACACCGAGGCAAGGTAAGTAAAAGTCGGATGAAGAATGAACCGCGGGTGTTGCCATACTGGCGGGAGGGTACCGTGGGTTTCATCATCCCAACGGTGTCCAATGAACATCTTTATATAATAGTTTCAGTCCAAGGGCATCGCTACTAGGAGCAAAGGGCATCGCAACTAGGAGCAAGGACGCTACGAACGTAGCTCCTGGCCTTACTACTAGGAGCAAGAAGGCTACTTCGGGCGAAAGGTATCCCGAAGGTCTTGATGGAGACCGTTGAACCTAGGAGCAAGAAGCCACTAGGGGCTCCTGGCCTTACTACTAGTAACAAGAAGCTACTAGGGGCTCCTGGCATCGCTACTAGGAGCAAGGACGCTACTAGGGGCTACTTCGGGAGCAAGAAGTTGTCAATGTCGACGTCTCCAAGAACGATGTGTCGTACGACGATCGACCACGTCACCGTTCGGCCGAGGCTGCTGGTGTCCCGAGGTGCTCTCGAGCTTGCCTTCCCTGCGGCAGCTCAGGGTATCGGGTGCTCGGAAAGGGAGGCAGACTGGTGGGGTGTGTGGTATGGCAGCAATGTTTGAGGAATGGAGGTGGAATCGATTTGATTTGCAAGACCAAGTGGATTTTATTGTATGGTGAATTCTTGTGGAAGAAAACAAGAGCAAGCATCTAGAAACAATAAGAAAGAAAAGAAATGAATTGTTGGAAGGCGTTTTTCGCTAAGATGGTTTGCTCATTTTTCCCAGCACAACGCCGCTGTCGTCGATCTCCCATTATCCAAGCAAGAGCATACGGATGAGTGCGTTGTCCACTGGACATTATATAAGCTGTTTTTTTGCATAGCACAGAACATGTTATGTTCTGTGCAGACAACTAAATAGTCTTAAATATTTAATGTTTTACAGTAATTACAAATTTAGCGCGCTGCAGAAAAACGGTTGTTGTTGATGAACAGAACATGTTTTGTGCCGTAGGTGGGGTTAGTTTTTAGAGCACCAGCTACCGATCACTTAACGGCACATTTCTCCGGGCTGGGCCGAGAGATGCCGAGAGAAACGGCCTGGCTTGGTCAAAGATAGCGAAAACGTCATATGGGTCAAGGCTTGCAGCCCTTTCTCGTGCAGTGGCTTGTAGTCTCCGAGAGGAAGTATTGGCACGGATTGTTGGCAAAATGCGCCGGTGCGAGCCTTGAGTGGGCAAGTATTTCTTTGCAGCTGTCCAGTGGCAAGTGGTCGTGGAGGTAGATCTTGACACGAAACTTCATATGCATGACAACTCGACCCGACGAGGTTATTTTTCCAGATTGCGTGCGCTCGCTGGCGTCGGGTGACACTTTCTTGGGAAAGCGCAGCACCAAAGATCTAGGATTACGATCCTAGAAGAAGTGGATCTTTTGGAGGTGGAGCTTGTGGAATTTACTGTACATGTTTAGAGTTTAGAGGTCAAGCTTTCGGCTTAGGATCTTGAAGGTTTGGGGCTCAAGATACTGAACCCTGCCTTCAGGATTCCAATTTCTAAACCGGTTTTGGTGCCTCGATTATCGATTCGACAAAGGATTCCCAACGTTGCAACTGAAGCGCTGGGGGCGCAGGTTCCGGGACTGAGGCATTCGACTAAACGTGGGGTCCGGAATGTTTCAACCCAAAGGGAGACAGTACTCATACAAGGCCACACTTTACATTATATTTGTGTGGTAGTTTCCGCTGTTCTGCCATCCCACAGCGAATGGATGTAAACCTGGACACTTCTTCTTTTTCTAGCACACCTGTTTTCCGGAAGATTTGCACACTGAAAAGCATATCTGAGAGGGAAGCTGTGGCCCAGCGTTCCAGATAGTGGAAGTTGCAGCGGCCCACCCTTGCAGAGAGTAAGAACCCCTACAGTTGCAAGCACTTGGGTTTGTTTCTTACATCCAGCACTATATGGTAATACAAGGAGTGATTGCTGTGAACGGTGTCGAGTTGTGTTGCTTGCGAAGATGTTTGCCTGCGCATCATCATCCAAACTTGATAATACGATCTCTCGCACCCTATGTCCAAGTGTCCTGGGGGAAGAACATGGAAGAACGGGTGAGGAACCCTCCTACCCAATTGTCTTAATGTCTTAATGCAACAAAGGTTTTTGGCCAGAGGTGAGTTGATGGATGTTACTTCATCCATTGATTAATATTGATTGGAACCGTAGCAACCCAGCGCTCTATCAATCCAGGAATAAGTTATACGGTATAAGTCTGTCATCGGCCAATTCAATCTGAGTGTGTCCAGTTAAGAATCAAGTCTGTAACGCTTGTAGTGGCCCTGATATGTATCTCAGCCGCTTTCGTCATGATAAGGTTTGGTTTTTGATGGACCCTGTCTCATGATGATTTTTCTTAGCTTGGGAGGCCTGCAGTGGATGTGGACTTGGCAGCAAGCAGCTTGGTTTGGCCCTGCCTCCAAACCCTAAGCCGAAGGAGACGCCACATTGTCCACGTAATTTGTACTGCAGATACAGACCAAAATACCCTGTTGAGTTTGCGTTTGGTCAGTCAAAGGCACTTCGTCTTTTTGGTGGATTCCCTTTCAAGAGCGACACAAGAGCGAAGGCTGTTGCCTGTGGATGGCTCAAGTTTCCCTAAAAAGCTAGAAACCAAATCATGAGTGCGAGCGCTTCTTCAAGGAAGCTCCCCCGCCGCCTTAAGGGCAGCGGGGGAGCTTCCTGGAAGAAGCGTGAGCTATCCTGCTTCCATATGTAGTAGCATCCTGCACCTACTAGCTACCCCTAGCTATCTACTAGTACCGAGCTTCTACTAGCTAGCAGCTACCTCTAGCTAACCTACCTCACCACTACCTCCTAGCAGCCTACCCCCCTGTCCAAGTACTACCAACGCTCAGGCAGCATCCTCGCAGTCGCGTCTCAGCTAACGATCCTAGAGTTTCGCTGCCAAGGCTTTGGTGTCTCAGCTGGAAACATCCGACTTGGCAGCTGAATAAGACTACATAAAATATGATATATACATATTATGTATATATATATATATTGTCTGAATAAGACCTGCTTATATGTAAGGGTTACATAAAAATACATGTTCAGTATCTATTGGATAAGACATATCAAGATATATCAAGATTGTGTATTGTGATTGGAACTGGTGTGACGGTTGCAGCTGCCAATTTGTGATTGGTTGCCAGTGGTTTGCTCAGCTGTTAAAGCATGTTTGACCAGGTAATGTTTATCAGTCCGAGAGTTAGATGGCGGATGATGGCGGAGATTCTTTGCGATAAATTGGTCAAAACTGGTCAATTTGGTTGTTGGAGGCATGCCCAGGGTTCCTCGGTTCCTTGATGTTCTTGTTTTTTTCCTCGGGGTGGTCCAGGGTGATCGACTCCAGAGCTACCGCTCGGTTGATCAAATTGGCCGAGGCTCGTGGCCTTCTGTATCGGTTTGGCCAAGAACACCAGCCTTAAGAAGACTGTCGGTGCCTGTGGCTGAGTGGATCTGGGGGGCGGATTCCCACACAGATTTATTTGGTGGATGGTTTTCCTTGGAAGGTCTTTTGGTGATCAACTCAAAGAAATTCAGAAGTAATTCTAGAAAAGAAAAAGGAAAGAAAGAAACAAGTAGCGATGGCCTCCAACCTAATGCGAAAGAAAGAAACAAACAATATATGTGGATCAAGCCTTGGGTCCCAGGTTTTGAAGCCCGGAAGTTTAGTGGCCGGGTGCTGGAGGACGGTGTGTCGAGTTCATCACACCTGAGGGAACGAAAAGGTATATAACCAAATCGACAGCTGCATAAATGCTTTTGTCCTACTAGCTTCTTGTTCCTAGTAGTGTTACTAGTAGCATTCTGCCTCCTAGTAGTAAGGCCAGGAGCCCCTAGTAGCATCCTGTAGCATCCTTGTTCATTCAAGATTTGAATTGAGGTCAGAGAGATGCCACTCTCCATTTGGGACTTGCCCAACCTCTTCGCCGCTCATGACTTGGAGACATTGGAACTGCAGGCGTGTGATGAGTGGAAGATGGACAAAGACGGGTTTGTGGATGTTTGTTGTTAAAATGTGATGAGTCGGCAAAGACTTCAAAGTGCGAACATTCCAGAGTCCTATACAGGTGTGCACTGCTCAGTATGGTAGAAATCGCAGAGAATGTGCACCACAGGTACATCAATATATATATATATATATCAACTCTTCAGCTGGTCTTTTGGAAGTGCCAACTTGACACTGCACATGATGTACTTGTTGACTTTATGGTTTGTGGTGCCTCAACACAAGGACCCTAGAACCCTCTAGAAACCTTGACTCGATGTTCAACCGATGCCTTGGCAAGTCGAGATTTAAGATGTCAAATTTAGGGATGGAGAAGAGAGAGAGGGCGTTCAAACCAGCTGGTGTGGGTTCTACATTGGCAGAAACCAGCAGAAACCCACAACAAGTGACAAACCATGGATCCCAACAAGTGCACAGATTGGTCGCCTAGATTCAACTGTTCCTCCCATTCTTAAGATGGTGTTGACTACTTTCGCCAAACTGTTGAAAGATCACCTTCAGCAGTATCTTGAGTTCGAGGTAATCCAACATGTTGAAATGTTTCGTAACATGAAAGGTCACACGCATGCAGGATCTTGGATCCTTTTCATGATGCGTTCCTTGATGATCAGGTCATAAGGCCAAAGGATCTCCAATGTCACGTGCACGGGTTTGTAGACCTCATCACCAAAAAGCACCCTCCTCAAACATTCGGATTCAAGCAACTACCCCAGTGGACCATCGTGTCGGAGGCCTGTCCGCTCACCGAATCGCAGATGGGCATTGCTGGGCGCTCAGATGACAGGTCCACACGAGTCATCCTGGAATTTGAGAGCCACTCCAAGATGCTTTGGAGTGAGGGACTTGCGGTTTCCAGGCTGTTTGGACTAACAAAAGATGAATGTGTGAGATTAAATGTTCTGTCCTGGGTCGGTGCCTAACTTGCCTGTTTTGATTGCCTACATAGGAAGGCTTGGGAGCATTTGGGTCCTTATCACCTCCCATTATTGCAAACTTGTTCATGAATCAGATTGAATTCGTGAGAAGAGGGTCGATGCCGTAAGTTGCCGCAACAGGCACAGCATAGTGATGAACTCGGCTCGACGCATCGTTTGTATCAAAAGTCTCTTTCGCCCGCACAGATTCCGGACAGGTGCATTCTGGCGCGAATGTGAAGCCTGAAGTGGTTATTTTAGTCGGTTGTGGCGGGAAGATGGCTGCTAAGAAGCACGGAGGGGTGAGATGATGGTGAGACGGGTCGGAGTGGTACAGACTGTGAAGAGGGTACATATTCTTTCCCAGACAACCGCGTAAACAACAAAAATTTCCGAGAATGCATTTGCCAAAAAAGCATGTGTTTTTTCCGGTTTTCCTATCTAAATCTGTGTGTTTTTTTTGTGTGAGAGTCCTAAGTCTGTATTTGAAGCCTTCTGGCATGTTTGACATGGGTTTTCTTTTTTGAGTAGGGGGTTAGGCCGAGAAGAGGTAGGCTAGGTAGGTAGAGGTACCCAGTAGAAGCGAACGGTAGCTAGTAGCTCAAGTAGCTACTTCCGACAGGACGCAGGATAGCTCACGCACTATTCATTTAGGTTCCTACTAGGTACTAGCCTTAAGTTGACTCAGCTTGTGTAAAGTCGACTCGGAACCGTGTGCCCTTGCAGAACTGCACTTCACAGGGATGCCTAAGCATAGATTGTATGGATCTATAACACATGTTTTTGTGTTGTGCCCATGGTGTGCCTGATTATCACTCGTTTGTATTTATGAGGCAGCTTCCACAGGGGTGAAGCAAGGATCTTCGGGCCCAGCTGGACTTCTGCCGATGCTGCTGGCTTGCTGATGCTGTTGTTGTTGCTGTGCTGGCTGGTGGCTCATTTGCTGTTGCTTCCGCTGCCGCTGCCGCTGTTGCTGCTGCTGCTGGGGCGACTACAGGAGTCAAGCTCGCGCGAACCTCGCGCTACGTCGCGCGGAGGCCTACATGTCACTTGTGTGTGCGCACGCAATCTGTTCTCTAAGCTGCGCATTGGTGTGAATGGCGCTGTGCCAATGAGATTCGGGCTTGAAACATCTAGAAAGCAAGGCAAAAATGCAAGCCATAACACAGTGTGTGCACACGTTTTCTTGAGCATGTCGCTTTCGTGCCATGTTCATTTTTCAAGTGTGCCCAGTGTGCTTTGACCAAAATGAGCCGACTTCACGCGAGTGGGTTGACCTTCTCGCTGAAACACTGTGCCCATGCAGTGAGTCGACTTCACGCGACGTGGGTTGACTTAAGTACGCCGCTTGTAGATATTCAGGGAGACCCAAGTTGGGGGCGATGCCTTTTTACGAACTTTTGCTGCCCGTATCAGTGTTTGTATGTAGTCTATTGTGTCTGTGTAACGTAGGCCATGTTTTCAATCCTAGGCCTTGACAGTGCTGCTGTCCTTGGGCCTCACACGGCTTTGCTACCTACGTGTCGACAGCCCCACAGATGCCAAGCTGAAGGCACGGAAAAACTTCTTGGACCACGAGGGTTGAGGCAGGCATAAAATGCAAGGGTCATGACAGCTTCAGCCGTGCAGAATTCCAGCTCAAGACTAGAAAAGATAGGGAAAATAGAAATAACATTGTGTGTGTTCTTTTTGGTTGCTTTCGTCTTTCCTCCTGGTCTTATTCGATTCCGCCAGGTTCGGTTCGGAGACTTGAAGTGTCAATTGTTTGTTTGGACCTCACCGAAAGTGAAAAGTTTAAAAGGGTATCTTTGGGTATCCTTGGGTATGGGAACAGCATGGAACAGCCTATCCCCTGTGGCTTGAAAATTTGTGACTCTTGTGAATCTCCTGTGACTCAACCGGTTTCTCAGGAGGAGCTCACAAAGGCCTGCCGTCCGAACATCGGCGGCATTGACGAGGAGGTTGATGCAGGGAAACCCGGATTCGGTCCAAGAGGTCCGAGGGGCAAGGACGCTAGGCTCGGAGGCCATCACAAGTAGGTTGGAGGCCATCCCTAGGAACAAGAAACTACTATATAGGAGCTAGAAGCTATGAGGTTGGAGGCCGCCGGATCATCTTCATTTTTCAGCAGATCATTCCAAGGCAATTTGTTCGTCTGAGAAATGCTTTGTTTGATCAGTCTGATCCTCACTGGTCTTGATGGTCGACTTGGAGGGACCCAAAAAGCTGTGTGCAGGCCATGTGTTCACAGAACCTCACAACTATCAGGTGGCTGCAGTTCTGCAAGCCCAGGTGGGGAACGATCATGGCTCAGTGGTCATGGAAATGCGGGGATCGAAGTGGGCACCATCAGTTGATTAGCTTGCCATCCCAAACCCTTGTGCGTGAGCTGTTGAGTTGGTTCATCCTTCTTGAAGCTTTCCACCCAGGAGAATTCGACCGCACTGCCACCAGGGGCAGCAATCCCGTCTTGCTGCATGCTCAAATCATCATCAACAATCCTCCATCAAGCCAGCGCAGTCCATGTTCGGGCGAACATTGCAATGATCACAGACTTCTTTGTGTAAGCCACCCCCAGACTCAGACAATCAGACAAGCCTTGCAAGCTGTTTGTTCTGAAGTGTTTGAAAAGGCTTGAGGTGTGCCCGGTATGCCACAGCTTTCTTGACATTGCCAAGATCTCCCCACTACTGCAAAACAGGCCGAACGAGAGCTCCGAGCTGAGCTACAGCGCGTGTTGCGGCTCCCAGTGGTTTGAGACGTTTGAAGATGAACCAACTGAAGGGCCTAGAAACTGGAACCAGAGTGTACTGTTGCTCTCCTTTCACACGATTTAGCATGATTTAGCATCTGTTACTAGTTTCTACGCTCTCCCACACATCCCATGTCATGGCTTTGGTGATGTCACGTCTCCCTAAAGACGGTTCAAGTTCCAAGATGTAACTAGTTGATAGTTGATCCCATAATAATAACAATAACATACAATAACAATAATGATAATAATAAAAGATCGATCAATCTATGTCTTTTCGTGTTTGTCAGCTCCCGGTGTTTTGTAGCTCAGACTCCCCTTGTTGCGAAGCAACTCCGCCGGTGGTTTTGATAGACTAAGTCAAAGTCAGTCCTGGGTCCTGGGATGTTCTGGGCAGGGTTGTGCAATTTGTTTGGCCCCCAATTGACTGTGCGATGATTACTATATCAATTGCGTTCAAATTTTCCCTAGTAGAAATGATAACGTGTCGTTTTTCATGGGCAACATTGTAGATATTTTTTCCGAAGCGGGCCCCCAGCAGACTACGTTGATTCCGCAAGGCGGCGATAGGTTGGCCAGGTTGGCGCTAGCTTCTCTATGATTGATATAACCACGATTTGTTGGTAGGTGTGTTTGTGTGTTGCCAAAGGATTTTGCTTCTCCTCCTTGTCCTCCTCTCTCCCCTCACACCCTCGCTCCTTCCCTCACTGCCTCAGTGCTACTTGACGACGGTGCACTTAGTAGTCAGCGGTACACGGCTCATCTAATATTGAGTCATGTTGACAAACAGTGATTCTTCATGTTTGCTGAAGTTCTGGGTCCAACGGCGAGGTTGATTCGAAATGCTGTCGTAGCCCACTAGCAGCAAGAGTCAAGCAACTGCGATAATCCAGTAGCGGCAGCACCAGCAGCAGCGCCAGCCTCCACGCTAGCTACGTGTTGCAGTTCTTTAAGTGCTTGACTGCTTGACCTTGTTTATGTAAAATACATGTGTTTAATCTATAGTTTAAACATATCGGAGATTTAGAAGCGGGCCCATCAGGCTTGCAAAATCAACACTTTTTGGAAAAGGAGTTTTGACAGCCAGCCTCATATATGTACAGTATGCAGGAATGGTGATGGATTGTGTAATATTGTGTATAAATTATATATATATATATATGAATTGGCCTTTGTTATTTGTGCATGGGCGCCCCGTAAATACATTTGCAATCAAGTGCATGAAGAGCAGGTGCTATACTCAATACAGTACCAGCGCTCAGTTCTCCACAGTGTCTCAACCCTTCCTCCCTGAAGCCTGGAATGGCCACTACGGAAATCCCATTCAACCATTCCTAATTGTTGTATTTTCTCCAAGATACAGGCGGGGAGGAGGGGCGTAAGGGCTCATCGAACCGTTACAGTAGTTCATCATGACCTTGTGACGAATCGTGTTGCACCCGAGGCGGCGCCAGAGTGGGGCCGATTCTGTTGGGCCTTGGCGGCCCTTGGCACGGTGGCTGGAGGACCATTGGTTTGACTTCGGATGCAGATGTTCAGATGTGGAAGATGAGGGGGATTTGATGAGTAGGCGGATAGTAGGCGGATAGTAAGGGAAAAGGAAATCCGCTTTCCGTTCTTGCAATTTCAGTCCATGTACCCACTTCAAATTTGGATAGACCTATGCTCCCTCCTTACCCGTCATGGAACCTGCAAGGCATGTTGGTTTCAGGCCAAGTGAAGCAGCTGACACCGTCTTCAATTCCCCGTGAGGTTTTATGGGGAATGCTGGACTGCCTCAATCTTCTTTGAAGGGGGATAGATAGCTGGCAAAGTGGTTGAGTAGTAAGAGAAGCTACTTGCAAGCTTTCAGTCCAGGAGGCCGAGCGCAGTGTTCCCTGTGATGGAGAAGTATTGTACAAGTGCAGGCCACAGACTGATTCACTGAAGTTGTAGGGGCCCGTTGTGTTGGATCTTTGCTTGAGGTGCGAAAGGTCAACTTCAAGGGATTGAACCAGGAAGCTCATTGTCATTTTACCAGCATTAGGATCTTCCCGTTCCCGCCTCACATCTCCTCAAATCTCAGAAGAAGTGTCCAAAGACTGCAACACAATGTGGTGTAAGGCATGAGGAATTTGCAGCTAAAAGAGAGTTGGACAAGGGGACTGCCGAAATACCAGTCAATGCGTTCTTGTGCTTTGACGGCAAACCCTAGTCTTAATTTACTATCATGGGAACAGTTGACAGTGGGAAGAATTGTAAATTGCCCAGAAGTGCTTGGGGCCACGTGGCATCAGATCACAACTGCTGACATCAACCAAAGCATGGGCTGGAGGATCGGTAGACTTTAGACCATTTAAAATAAAAATTCACATCCTCCTGTCTCAGAGGTATGAAGAGAGGCCGTGCAAAGGCTTCTCAACGCACCCATCCATGAGTAGCTTCACATGTCTGAAATCGAGTGAAGTGGGGATCACCACCTTACTTTCTATATATTCTATTTGAATCACCAAAAAAATTATTTGTGTGGGGAAGAACAGGGGTGTCAGGGTTGTCCTTCAACGCTTGGTGTTTGGCATCGCCAGGTCGAAATAGGTTGTGCTGATTCAGTCTCACGCCTGCGTGTCGAGCACTCGAATTGGTCACAGGGCCACTTGAGTCAGAGATCGTGTGACTCCAAACTGTGGACCCTGCGCCCCCCCCCCAAAGGTTTGTAACGGAAAGGCCCAACCAAATAGGGTCTGCAGGGTCCATATCTTGGAGCCACGGCCGTCTCTCATCTATGTTGGTTGCTCAAGGCTGATCTGGGAAGACCTCAGGCCCGCACCGACTCTGAAAAGGGGAAGCAACTCAAGAACCTTGAGCAACTGCCTCCTGTCAAGGTGCAGGCACAAGTATTTGCAGCGTTTTTACTGCACACAGAAGCAGTCGTTTTGGATGTGTTTGAAGCTTCTTGTCTCAAAAATCTGTGTCCCGATTGGATTGGGGCCACCTTTGAGACAGATAGAATAGATAGAATCTGTGTGTTTATGTCGTTCGCGATAGCAGATCAATCTGGGACCACATGGTGACCCCCAATTTGAAGAAGGAAGGAATGACAGAGTGTGAGTGAGACAAAGGTTCCAGATTTGTCTTGTGAACGCGAGCCTTAGCTCCAAAGCACAAGAGCTACACGGGCCGGACATAGGCCACCCAGAAACAGCCTGGCAGAGAGCAAAATATGGGCTGGTTCAAGTTTCAATCTTCCGCCTGTCACTTCAAGAATCTTGAACCAATGGAGGGCGCTACCGTCCACGTCAACGATTGATTGAGCTGGGATTCCGACCAATTCCTAAAAGACATTAAAAGACTGCTTTTCGATACATGTCGATACCACCTTCTTTGTGATCCAGTTAGGAGTTTGCGTTCCATCGCCGCTTTGTAGCTGGCCTTGGGAACGACAAATTGTATCAAATTGTGCTTTTGCTTTGGCTGGAGGTCTCTCGTGCCGAACATCGGAAGATAGTGTTCTGATGGTTTCTACCAAAACCGAGCCGGAAGAGAAGTGTCTCCTTTAAAAAAAATAACACACACTGTTTTCGGGGCCATGTTCTTCCTTTGACGGTACATCCCACAAGCCATAATATTGTACGATATTGTATGGCTTGTATGCTACAGTTTTGATGGCAGGGATGTCACCAGAAAACACCGGACATCGAGGTTTGTGCCAAGAGCCGCTGAAGTCGGGCCTCTCTTCCAGCAGGCCCTGCATGTCTTTCTGGAGAGCAATTGAACTTATGGATCAACTAATACTGCTGTATTTGATTGTTTCTAAGCAGAATTCTGAAGTGATGGTTTTTGTTTCATTGTGTACAGTGTCTATAGTGCTTGTGGGGTGTTACCAACTCCATGGAATGGTGCACAAGTTACTATGCATAAGGCATGACATGCCTCTTTTGATGGGAGCCAATTGATTGTATTCACATCGTATTTTATGTAGTGCCCCCATGTTATGTTGCATTTCAGGATTGCACGGCCTGAGTGACGATAAGATGCAAAATGACGAGTTTGATTAACGCATTGCTCAGCATGACATGTGGCTTTGCTTTCGCTTCTATGATGCCGGTGTTTTGGGCGAGCCACCGGAGTGTTTTGCACATCCAAATCGGTATGAAGTATCAATGGCACAGAAAAAGAATGCTGATGTTGGAGGTCACTGTGAAGCACACCTCCAAACAGTGTCCCCCAGTGTTGCTATCACATCATACCATTTATGGACTTACCAGTGGGCGAGTGGGTTCAAGGAGGAGGGATATGTGTTTGCATAGGGCCATTGAAAGGGGGGCATAATTCACAGACTTGGGCATGTGGGGTTGAACCCCAAGTGCACTTAGCAAGTGGTTTTGACTTGACGAAAACCGCTTTGCAAAGGGGTCAAAACCAACCGAGTCGGGGCAGGTGCGCTTTGGCCCATTGACTGGCCGTCCTGGCCGCCGGGAGCACCACAAGTTTGGGGCAGCAGACCGGAAGGCTACGTCGCGATCTCAGAGTGTCTCTGGAGGAAACAGAAGACACACGAGTTTCAACAGGATAAAGTGTTCAATTCAGCGAAAGGGAGAGTTGGTGAAAAGGAAGGCAGGGAAACTCAATGCTGCATTGATGTTTCAAAATCTTGTTGAGCAAAGCAGAGAACACCCGTTCTTTTTGTGCTGCGCTTTTTTGGCAGCCTGCCCAGGTACTACTACAGATTTCACAAGCTAATCGGAAAGGCCAACTGGCGGAAGTACATTGAACGCACCTTGATTGCGTTTTAGGCCAAAGAGCAGTTCGTTTGTTTAAGCGCATTGCAAGCACGGATGAGTTGGCTGAGGTTGCAGTCACATGCTTTGTTCGGAGAGTGTATTGTGGGTAGTTACAACCACTTGCTGGGCAGGCTGGTTGAAAGCGGTCCTGATAGACTAGCACAGGTGTTGCAAGTCTCAACTCTTTGTCTTTGACCCAATTTGTTTTTGAAACCAAGAAATCCATTGTTCAGGCTATGTCGCTCCTCGATCCATCGAGAATCGGCAGAGGTGCCTTGCAGAATTGGAGATTGACGAGGGTGGTGGAACTCGGGAACCCTAATTATGAAATGATGCTTAAACAAGAGCGCTAGCAACCGCCAGTCTAAAACAATGGTTAGAGGATAACAATAGAAGATATGCAGAGAGCACAAAAGATGGGCAGATTTGCTTTGAATGGGCACGTCCCGAGTTGAATCTCTCCGTGGGATTGTATCGTTTGGATCAGTTCGGTAGATTCTTGGCCAGGTGGATTCCAACACCTTGGCCCACCTACCAACAGGGGAAGCACGCCCGGTCCTGGAACTGGCGCTTGCCAAAGGCAGGAAGATCATCTCTAGAAATGATGTTTGTGGGGGATTGATCAGTGGATTTGTGTTTTTCTAAGGGCAAACTTGTGCGCTCCTAGCTACTGGACGCAGGACAGCAGCGGCGGGTTCAGAGTTCAAGAAAGCTCCCCCCGCCTGAGCACCATTCATGTGGTTCCTAGATTTCTAGGGACACGGAATTGGATGTTGTTACCTGCTATATCTATATATATATATATAGAGAAGGATGTTTCCACCCCCAATGGTGTAAGAGATGTTGCATCGTGAAAAAGCTTTTGGTGTATATACCTTCCAGTATTCTTCCAGTACAGTAGGATTTGGTGTTGAAATTCCTGGCAGAGTCTTTGGCACGGATCATTCACCAAGAGACTACACACATACATAGGTAGCAGGAAGTAGCAGCAGACAAGCAGGAGCAACAGGCCAGCCTAACAGCAACAAAACAGCAGATAAGTAGCAGAACGGCAGAACAGAGTAGAAGCAACAGCAAAAGCAACAGCAGAAGCAGGCCAGAAACAGACAGCAGTAGCAAGCCAGCAGAGCTGCAGCAGAAGCAGCACTAGCCGCAGCAGAACCAGCCGCCGCCGCAGCAGCAGCAGCAGCCGCAGCAGCAGCAGCAGCCGCAGCAGCTGCAGTAGCCGCAGCGGCAGCAGCGGCGGACCAGCAGCACCAACAGACAATTAGGAGCGACAGTCCAGAAAAGCAACAAACGAGAGCATGTTTCCGGAGCTTTCGGAGCAGGTTCGGGAGCAAGAGTTGCAGCATTTTTTGCAGATATGCTGACATGCTGTTAGTTATGTTGTCACTGTCAAGGCGTAATGCTTACCAGAAAGTGACCCGACCCCACTCCAAATTTTAAGGGTTAGCGGTAAGCCGGTAAACGTGAATTTCAATATTTGTTGGGGTGTGAAGGCCAAAGTTTCAAAAGAATGCATCCTAGGGTCCTAATTGACAAATCATGTGACACCAAAAAATGTCATTCGCTGTCAACCTCCAAAACGCCAGGGCTTGGCTGCCGCCACCACAGGGGATGATGTCCTGGAGGCGATTTGGACCGATGTCCAAAGTGTACAATTTGATGGTCCAAATTGAGGTAGGTACTCAAGGTGGTGCGGATTTTGTTTGCCTTTGCACATGTGTTTCACGGTCGGTCCAAAGTTTAAAGATCCAGAAGTCTCACGTTTTTTTCCAGCGCTGATGGTTTGGTCAGGTGTGGATCAAGTTCAGGCACAAACTTCCAAAAAAGTCAGGGACCCAGTTGTGTTTGAAACTAGCGTTGATGAGGCCAGCCGCCAGACACCGAAACAGCACAGGCAAAAACGATCAAATCCGCACGCAGCAAACGTAGAGCATGTTGCAGAAACAATCGCAAAGCCATTTCAGGAAGTGTTCATCTTTGTAGCAAGGACTAACAAGGTTATGTTGTACAAGTTTGGTGCGCTTAGTACAAGCGTCAAACTGACACCATATTAAATACAGTATATATATATATATTGTTTTTTCAAACATGTTCAAACCAAGAAGTACTGCTAGGCTCAAAATCCCTCGGTGAGAAGGGAAGACGTCGCAAGCCTGAATCAACAGTTGAAATGTCAGGACCTTCCACTACTTCAAGCTCTTGAAGAGGTGCGGGAGGGCCTCGGCATACAATCCAGTTGTATACTCCAAATCAGTACACCCGGATTGACCCGGATTATACTTTTTCGCTTCAATCTCCCCGTGCTGCCACCCACCTGGACCACCTGGCCGTCAGCACTCTCTGGTTCAGAACGCCTTGCCTGACACTTGAATGGCGCGCCTGGGACGCCTCGCCCTTGGCCTTGGCCTTGGCCTTGCCTCGGCGGAAGTGAACCGCAGCGGACACGGTCACCTTCGGCGTTTGGGCACAGTCGCGGCAGAAGTCGGCGCCAACGCTGATGCTAGCCTCCGCTGCGGGCCGTTGGACATGCCGGAGAATGCACAGTGCAAGGAGGTGCAGTTCGGACTCGATTCTTACATCATCCTTTGCCTGTGAGAAGATATTATGAGGATGGTGATGAGATAGCTGTTTCGCATGGCTCACCCAAAAAATTGGAGGAATCCATAGGCAACCCGGCAACTCAGACATAACAACCCGTATTTGCTGGGTGTTTGGTTTTGAGTCAATGGAAGAACAGTTTTATAAAATAGAAACGGTTCAGGATCAAAGGAAGCAGGGCAGGAGGTTGCACTGTCAAAAGATATCGCCCCATTTGGGGTCGGATGGAGTTGGTGTAACTGCATCGTCAAGCGTTTCTTTCTGAAAAGAGCATCTGGACAATGGTGACACAGTGTCCCGAAAGAAAGCCAATGTCAACAACCCGAGATCCGTCGGATCCATGGCAGGTGGTGGAGTGGGCTGCTGGCGGTGGAAAGTGGGATACCAAGGCGGACAACTGGTATCGCAACATGCCCAGCATAGCTGGCGTGAAGCACGAGCCCTGGTTGTGCAAAGACTTTGCAGCAGAAAATTCACCGACTGCAAACTCTGAGTTTATGCAAAATCATGTTGTTTTTTGATCGGGGAAGGGCTTGATGGGGAACCTACGCTTTTTGAGGGGTCAACACATGGCAGGACCAGGCTACCTTGGCGGATTTCCAGCGCCTGTACTATTGCGCACCTCCAGGAGGGCCGTGTTGGTCAAAAAAGCAGGACTTGGTCAGTGTTGGCTTAGAAAACACTGACTCACCGGCCAATCCTTAAGAGGATCATGTTCAAGAGCAGAAGCGATTGGAAGTGATTGAAAGCCCCAACATCGCCACACAAAGACCAAGAAAATCCCAAACATACAAATTGACAGGACCCTGTGGTGTCCCTATGTTTCCATCAGTCCCAGACAAACTTCAGATTCGTAACATGTGTGAGTATGTGTGATCCAGGTTCCATCAGTGGAAGCAGAGTAGAACGAGGAAACGTTTCTGTTTAGACACAGTACTTGGTTTTTCCCGCCAGCAATCATGGATGGGTATTGATGCATGTCTTGGTTGAATGACTTTGAAATGTCTCATAATGTTGTTTCTAGTAGCTTCTTGTTACTACTAGCAAGGCACTTGTTACTAGTAGCGATGCAATTGTTTCTAATGGCGTCTTGTTACTACTAGTAAGGCACTTGTTACTAGTAGCGATGCACTTGTTTCTTGTTACTAGTAGCGATGCACTTGTTTCTAACAGCTTCTTGTTACTACTAGTAAGGCACTTGTTACTAGTAGCGATGCACTTGTGTCTAACAGCTTCTTGTTACTACTAGTAAGGCACTTGTTACTAGTAGCGATGCACTTGTTTCTAGTAGCTTCTTGTTACTACTAGTAAGGCACTTGTTACTAGTAGCGATGCACTTGTTTCTAATAGCTTCTTGTTACTACTAGTAAGGCACTTGTTACTAGTAGCGATGCACTTGTTTCTAATAGCTTCTTGTTACTACTAGTAAGGCACTTGTTACTAGTAGCGATGCACTTGTTTCTAGTAGCTTCTTGTTACTACTAGTAAGGCACTTGTTACTAGTAGCGATGCACTTGTTTCTAATAGCTTCTTGTTACTACTAGTAAGGCACTTGTTACTAGTAGCGATGCACTTGTTTCTAGTAGCTTCTAATAGACTTGGAGGAAAGGACAAGTTCTGTGGGTTGCCACCCTGCACGGGCTGCAGCGAGCCGCCGTGCACTGACTGCTTCGCGGGGCACCAGCTCTACGCTTCGGTGCGCCCCGGCTGCGACGGGAGCAACAGGGGCATCGGCTGCGTGCCACCCAAGACGGCCATGGCATACAAGGGACAGCACTGGCCCACCACCACGGTCTATGGCACCCAGGACCAGAACCCTCTACCCACGGTTGCTGGCAAGCACAGCCTTAGTTCCTCCAAATATGTTTTTGTATCAGTTGGAGGCCATCGCTAGTAGGTTGGAGGACATCGCCCATCGCTATTAAGTTCGATTGCAGGAGATGCACATCTTCGCGATTGGAGACTGGGGAGGCATGGACGGCTCCTTGGACACGGCCGAGGGGAGGCCCAACATCGTGGCCTACAACTGGGGCAAGCGACCGGGGCCCAGCGTGTTCCCTCGGAGCCGTTGGAACAAGGCCGGTAAACCTGGGCATGGGCGATAAAGATCGATAGATAGGATTCATGCTTGTGGAAACTGACAATCATCTAGATCTCATCATGCTTCTTTATCAATGTCCTTTGTGAAATCGATCTTCAAAAACTACCTGAAGGCTCACACGGTGCAATTCTGCGATCACAAGCAGTTGGTGGAGTGCTTCAATACTCGCGGCCAACCACCCTGCATCCCAGAGTGCGGCTATGTGCCTGGGGTAGACGACAATCCGCAGATCCTGGTGGCAAACGCCTTTAAAGCCCGGGCAGCGCTAAACGATCCCCAGTACATCCTCAATGTGGGCGACAACTTCTACTGGGGAGGCGCGTACCAAAGTCATCCAGCAAACTGCAGTAGTTGGTCTTTCAGTTGTCAAGCCTATTCAAAACAGTTCAAAACTTTCTTGAACCAAAGCCAGGTTTTGAGAAACTGAAGCCAGGTTTTTGTAGGTCCATTCATGCCAAGTAGTTGGGCTACAGACTTGGGATACAAAGCCAGGCATTGAGAAGACCTGTGGAGAGCCGATGAACAAGATCCTCGGAACAGCTGGCTGTTCGATTCGCATCCACTCGCGGTCGCGTAAAGGGGCAGGTGCTTTGCTGGTGGTTTGGGTCATCGAAGCATCCTTGCTTGTGCAGGCACAAAGGTTGTTCAACTGTCCGTAAGGCCAGGAGCCCCTAGTAGCGTTCTTGCTCCTAGTAGGGATGCCCTTTGCTCCTAGTAGCGTTCTTGCTCCTAGTAGTAAGGCCAGGAGCCCCTAGTAGCGTCCAGTGTTTAAGCATGTTCAAGCAGTGATCCGATTAGTCTCAAGATGCAGGCATTTGAGCCTTCCAACCGATGCCAGTTGGGCCGGGATTCCCCGTGTGTGTGTGTGTGTGTGTGTGTCCACCCCTGGACAAAGGGTTCTCAACCGACTTCGGCAGGGGAGTGGAGCAGGCCTGCAGAGCTCCACTTAACAAAGCTCTCTGCAGTGTCCTGAGGATATCGGCCAGGACGCTGGCCGACGTACCTGCAACCAACGGTTGAGCAAGCTGTTCCAATCACCTTTTTGTTTCCATGGTAGTTCATGATACTCCCCACAAACCCACTCTTCCCCAGCAGCTGCACCGCCGGTTTGATCGTTTTGCCGCCGCTTTGAACGTGTGAGTGCCTGTGGGAACAATGTTCAACAATACTTTTCAGCGGACTTTGCCACCTTGCCGTTCCCTCACCTTCCTTCTCAGCGTGGGAACTGAGTGTAACTGAATACAAGTGTCAGAGTGTGTTTCGCTCAGCCGTCCCACTCGGGTGCTGAGTGTGATCCCCATCACTGGGGCGCTGTTTTTTGCATCGGAATTCAACCACCCCAACGTCCCACTTTTCACTGGACCTTCACCGGAAGTCACGGCCACCCCCATAGAATCAACTGATGCATTGGCCGCCGGGCCCAAAAACGGCATCACTTCGACAGCCGCCGGGCTATAAAACGGTGCTTACCCCCAATGAGGCAGGTTCCCCAAACCCCCCCCCCCCCCCCCCCCCCCCCCCC